ATTGTACGTAAGACCTGATCAATGACCATGGACGACACCATCATCCGTCACGGGATTCTCAACATTTCCCAACTACTCAATGACCGGAACTCGTTCCAGTTGAAAGGGCTTCTTCCCCAAATCTTCAGGGTGAGCGGGCTAAGAGGATTAAGGAGGGAATCCAAGTGTTGCTTGTCTTTGACGTTCATGCCTACAGCCTTTAGTGGATCAACAGTAAGCTGGTCAAAGCACAAACAAACACATTCGAAGCTTTCCTATATATAGCATCGTCCAAATCCGAAAAGCTTTTCCAAACTCACTCGTTGTTGGGCATCTGTTGCACATTCATTATGGCACATTCACCTTTATCATGGGGTACACCAGTGGGGCTGTTTCTTCTTGTTGTCTCCTTCGGATCTGCTAACGTACTCTCCAACTCCATGCCGCCAGCATCAGCAGTTCCCAAGCGTCGGGTGGGAACTGCTTCAACCGACCCACCCGACGAGTCGCGCGGACCTGGCCGCGCGAGTCTCGCGGCTCCGGATACTGTACTTGAGTGGCCGCGCGTTCCGATAGCAGTCGTAGTTCCGGGCCCAGATGTCCAAGTCCGCTGGCTGTTCCTCCTGTGACGGTGACGGGCCGACCAAACTAGTTTTCGTGAAGGGGCTGGTGCACTACCCTGATAGACCCGAAGAATTGCAAAAACAACAACAACCACCCTGGTCGTGTACAGTGAATGGGTGAGAACATCTTATGCTTGAGGAAATCACTAAAGAAACAAACATTGTTTACCATTGTTTACCAAACCTCTAGCATCGGCGATTTCCACATCTCTCTGTTCGCATTTGGGAAAGCAGCTCGCTGCTCGCGCCAGATCCCGCATCCCCTCCGTTTACCCCTCTGGTCTGGGGTCTGAAGCTGGGGGCCCCGGACCCATTCCAAGACTGCGCGCATGTCCCACTCAATGCTCTTTGGGTTGCCGATGATGAAACAGCCTGAAGCTGGTGGCCCTGGTGGCGGTGTCAACTATTTTAGCGTTTTTATTGGTTGGAATACCATGCTGCGGAAGACCACCTAGGGATGGATTGCCTTGCTTGTGTTCCGGTTCTGCGCTGTCAATCTGCATGTGTTCCTTTTCAGCTCAAAAACAGGAACTTTCTATATACTGAAGACTGGCAATTATGGGCTATTATGGGCTATGACCGTAATAGCCTCTGTGTCCAACATCCAAGGTAGCATATATTAGCAACCATTCAACATTCAACCTCTTCATGCGTGGAGGTCGTACGTCTCAAACTCTGTCTCCAGTGACTCTGACTCGCAACAGTGGCCGGACAGTTATCCCAGTCATCGGGACTGCCTTCGGGATAAAGCTTGCCACCCTCAAGTTCTTCGGACATGGCGAAATGGAACTCGCACTTGGTCTCATCCTACACGTGTCATCCAGGCAGCTGGTCTTTTTGGCGGCTCAATCACATTGGTGAACCCCAAGAGCCAAAAGTGAGTCTTCATTTAAATCGGCATGCTCTTGGAACCTCGTGAAACCCAAAGATTTCACCGAAACCAAAGTCGGCTGCAAAAGGAAACGCATGCAAATCTGGAGTGAAGGTCAAGGGTGGAGGTCCATAGCCTCGAGGTAAACGCAGTACTCAGTCACAAAGGCCAAGAAAGGTTGGGATACAACAAATTGCTGCTCACCGATACGTAATCGGATATTTTTCTCATCGGCATCCTAAAACAAGCTGTCTACTCATGTCATAATTACGAGAAGACAAAAGTTATGACAATAGATCATATTTAACTATATTCTAATATATTACACTTACATAAGATTACATAAGTCATCATAAGCCAATTTTTTGTTGACAAAAGCTCGAGTGTCATAATTGGCGCAAGACTTTCGCAGTCTCCACTATCACCATCCCGTCCTGGCAGTTTTTCCCTCGATCCAGTTTCCGTTTGATGGTGGCATACCTGGCCCACCAGGCTGAATGCTGCGGTGCAGGGGTCCACTTTGAGGGAAGCGACATGTGCAATGTGCACTTCTTCCAAACAACACATAGTCCTCTGGATCCCCGCACAATGGCGAGGGGGATGTCTATTGCATGCAGCAGGACATGACATGTGCGACATGTCTCATAGTCTCATGTCTCCAGCCATGTCGACTTCAAACATCTCCAATGATCAATGGCAAAGAGTGTTCTCAAGAGAACACTAAGCGCGTCAACATACAGAGTCTGCAGAAGCAACACCGAGAACTGGCCTGTAAATAGGATACCCCTAAGCTTGGCTGACTGTTTACTGTTTCACTTCGCAGTTCCTGCAACAATATTGGTAGTGTTCCCTTGACACAGCGATTTTGAGTCTATGTCCACAAACAGGTTTGTGGCATTTGGTTTTAGCTTTCTGAAAGGGATAGCAGTTGGCAAACCCTTATGTGTATGGAAACCAGAGCATTTATCCGACTTTTCGCTTCTCTTTGGTATGCAATGCTTGTTTTCCACATGGGACAAATTCGCACTGTATTTGTCTTCTTTAGCACCTTACTGAGTCACTACTTGCCACAATTCCACTCACATCTTCTTCAACTCTACTACTTCGAAGCTCCCAGCTCACCCCTTCCCAAGCAGGGCACTTCTCTTTCTCCAACGTGGCGTGAATGTCACGCGCTTCCGTGGAGAAACTGGCGGCAGGTGTTTAGACGGCATAGGACGGGAATGTCTACGCGCATGGCGCATGGGTTTGGCGGATCCAGTGTAATAGTGTAAATGGAGATTCCACGTAGACTGTCTCGAATGGTGACTCAAAACATTGCAAGGGCTGCCTGAACCCCCAACGCTGTATCTTTAGGGCTGGGGCGGCATCCACTCATCCACATCACGGCCTACGAGTTTCACGTCGAATTTTCACCATCTAACTTTCCCATCACTGGCGATTGGCCCGGCACTTGGCCCATCGCTGCATCGCTCTGGCCCCGGTCGACGGACGGGCGAGACAGCGTGGTGGGACGGGTGGCACTGCTCGCAGTGCGTGAGCATTCGAGGGGACCCACAAGTAGGCTCAAGGGTCAAGTGATTCGAAGTGATTCTTATTTTTTGTGACTATATATGTCTACATCAGTCTACAGTCATATATGACTGATGCCCACTGTTGGTGGGGTCTCCCTATTCCAACACACACAAAAATGCCTATTCCTTGGTTTGGTGCCACTTGTGGGGTCAGCCACCAGTCCTTGTCTTCGGACTGTGGAGGCTCCAAGCTCCGCTGCAGTCCCCCGTTTCACCCAGTCTCCACCGGGACGGTACGGGCCGGGTGAAGAAAGATGCCGGGCTGGCGACACGGAGAGGTCTTTGTTCGGAGACTGGTCCGTGTAGAGCTTCGCAATGGTCTTGCGCCTCGGGGAGGAGGGTCCCGGAACAAACGCGACGAACAAGCAGAACCGGCTGGGCCGATGGTCGCGTCGGCGGCCGCACTTTCCAACATGTGAGACTCACCTACAACACGTAGGTATACCACAAGACGTTTCCAACGTCCGCGCATTCGTCGCTGTGAAGAGGGATCCTTCGGATCGGACACCATGGACCGGATTGACAGGAACGTGCGCGGTACATCCTGGCATAGAAATGATAAAAAACGCTGGGTAGCAAAGAATCAAAGCGCATCCACCACATGGGAACTTGGTACTTCACCTGTATTTTCGATCCCTAAACATCCCTAAACTATGTATAATGGTACAGGTTTGTGTCCATCGACCCTGAGTCGATGACTCTCTGCTCTTGGAAATACGCTTGCCCCTACACCCCACAAGATTCAGGCAGTGGAGTTGGTGGATCTGCGATGGTTCAGAGTTCAAAGCATGCAACCCAATCAGAGTGGCTGGGTGTTTGGGGTCCATCTAGACCTACCATCGGATGATTTTGGGGAATGGGCATTCCGTCGGGTCAATGCATTCGTTTACTGTTTGGTGGTTGCATGGACCCAACGATGCAGTTCTGGTCATTTCATCAGTTTTTTTCCGGAACATTTTGTTTACTTTGTTCGTGCTTTGACTGTTTTTTTCAAACAACCGTAAGTGGTGGTCGGCAGCGGCCCGGCGATCGTTGAAATTCATGTTTCGAAAAAGACAACACATGATGCTTTCGATGAAGCATATGTAAATCTGATATGTTGAAACTGTTGCATACCATGGGAACTCTGTTAAAACATGTTAAAACAACACACTCTGACACTTGTATTCAGTGACTCAGTTACCACGTTGGGAAAAGGTAAGGGAACGGCAAGGCGCATGAGTCGGCCAAAACAGTATTGTTTAAAAATGTTTCCTCAGTTGCAAGTCTGCAGTTGGCGGCTGGCTGCAAATCACGTTCGGCTGAAAAGTGCGGTGGAAAAATCCGTTGTTTGGGGGAACGTAGCATGAAGAAGGACCATGAATCAAACCGTGGAAAAGTAGGGTGACAGCTTGTGGAAAACTTCGCAGGTACATGGTTGAGCGTCCTCAACCACTTCCCTTCCAGCGACCCAGCTTCGTTGGATCAGGTTAGTCGCTGGAAGCCTGATCCCCCTGCATGTGAAAGTTCGTGGAAAATCGGTGAAGGAGGTGGCGGTGGAAAACCCTTTGTCCAGGGGTGGACACACACAGGTCGCCGTCGTCGGCGCTTTTTCAAAAAACGGTGGCAAGCGTGATGGTTGTGTCCTTTTTGGACATAGAGCCTCACTAGCTCGGC